GAGATTTCATGAACCCTAAGAAAGAAAAAGAATTAGCAACGGAAGGGAACTTGGTCGTTTTTATTTGTAGACGTCAAAAAGGAAAAATAAATAATACACTCAAATGTCTAAAAAAATAATAAAATTGAGATTGAAAAATTGTTATTTTAGAAGATTATTAATTTACCGATAGATTAATAATTTATCTATAAATTATGTGAAGGCATATCTAATCAATCTTATAAAAATGTGACAGATATTGAACACATATTTAATTATGTTAGTGAAATTGATATGATTATTAAAAAGTCGATGATTGATTGTTAAAGGAGCACTATAGTATATCAGTTCTTTCTTCCAAAAAGGGTCGTGGCATTAATGGCATATTGAGAATATATTTTGCGAAAATTGATTATTTTTTTTTTTTAAGAATATGCATTTAAATATAAGAAAAAATTATGGGTCCGTAGTGTAAAATTGTCATATTGAAAAAAATTAGTTGGAAATGAATTCAAATTTTTTTAAAAAAAAAATTATCAAACGGGGCCTAAATGATTACTGTCTATAAAATGAAAAATGAGAAAATTGCATAAAACCAGACATTTAGTTTGACATTTTTAAAAATCAGGTTTACACTTTATTTCTTAAAAAATCAGGTACTTTATTTTACATATACNTTTTTTTTTTTTAAGAATATGCATTTAAATATAAGAAAAAATTATGGGTCCGTAGTGTAAAATTGTCATATTGAAAAAAATTAGTTGGAAATGAATTCAAATTTTTTTTTAAAAAAAATTATCAAACGGGGCCTAAATGATTACTGTCTATAAAATGAAAAATGAGAAAATTGCATAAAACCAGACATTTAGTTTGACATTTTTAAAAATCAGGTTTACACTTTATTTAATCAATTTTCATGTTTTTATCATTTTAATTAATAACGATATTATAAAATTAAAATAACCTATATACCCTCCCTATTACCTACGCCTCACCAAATTTATTTTAAATATGAAACCCTAAATCAATTCTCGTGTCTCACAATTTATTTTCACTCTCCCACGCCACGCCGCCTCTACCGCCACCGTCCGTCTCCCCCCTTCGCCCCCTCCCCCTCGTCGTTCAGTAGTACTGCGACGCTGCTGCCGTTCACAGCAACGTCGCGATGCTGCTGTGGGTGGGTGGCTCACAGCAGCATCCAAAAATTAGCTGGTGTAGTTTTCAGTTAGGATTGATGAGAGTATTCGTTGATTTGAACTTAGCAATGAGTTGTATGTGTGTGTGTTGTGGCGGGGTCAAAGGCGACGAATCTGTTTATTGGTGAATCTGTGTGTGGCGGATCTGTTTATTGTTGTGGTGGTGGTGGTACAGGTGGCGACGGTGATGGTTTTTTTTGTTATTATTGTGGATGTGGTTGTGGTGGTGTTGTGACTGGGGGCGAAGATGTTGGTGATGTTGTGCAGGCGACGACGGTGGTTTGGGTGGTGGTTGTGGCGGTAGAGGTGGAGGTGGCGGTGGAGGTAGTGGCAAAAAGCGTCTATGACCAACTATTTGGTCGATGTGTGACCAAGTATCGGTGGCGGATTGGGATCGGGGACGGGGACGGGGGTTTCTGTGTGTGACCAACTATATTAGTTATTAAACCGTGACCTTAAAATTCGATAATATGTGATTAAAAATATAATATGTGATCATCAAATTTGGAAATATGTGACCTATGTTATCTATAATTTTTTTAACTTGTGACAAATTAAACATTTGTGACTTATAATTTTTTTGATCGATGACCAATGACGTCAACTGTGACTCGAATATTTTTTTATTTGTGATTTCGAAATAATTTGTGACCAATAATTTGATAAGTTGTGACTGAAAATTAGTTTTTATCTAATTAATTAGACATCTGTGACCAAATTGTATATAATTGTGACCTTAACAATTGATAGAATCAAGCGGCGGCGGAACGGTCACCGGAGTACTCGCAGGTCGCCGGAGTAGAGTGGCCACCGGAACTGTCTCAGAAGCAGTAGGTGGGGTGGGGTGGTGGAGGTGAGGTGGGG